CCCGTAAAGCCTTCTTATATAATAATCCTTTGTACGAGGGTGACACTAAAAGTTCTTAGAAAAATCAAAAAACTGAGCAAACTAGCAAGTTATTAGTTTTATTATATCTTTTCAAAAAAGTGTTTATTCATTTCGATGGAACCACTGAGAAAAGCATTTTGGCCTCTTGCACTTATGGGTATCTTCGACGGCATTTTGAAACGCAGCCACTGCTTCCTCAGCGTTCATAAAAAGTTTTCCTCGAAGTTTTTCTTTTATTTTCGGAAATAAATAAAAATGGCAAAGTGAGGTCGGAGCTATAGGGCAGGTGACTTAGTAATTCTACTTCCAACGTCGCCAAATAGTCGATTGTTTGCTTGGCAGTGTGCGACGAGGCATTGTCGTGGTGAAGGAGGATCTTTTGAAATTTTTCTAAGGCGAGTGGCAAGCAATTGTTAGTGTACCAGTTTTCGATCCTCTAAAACAATTGTTGCTGAATGACCTGTCCTTCCAAAGAACGAGGCCATCATCTTTTTCCCACACTTCGACCTTTTTCTAAGTTTCAGGGTCATAACAATAAATACAGCTTTCGTCACCCGTAAGTATATTGAACACAGCATTTGAGTTACTTCCGTTAAATCTTTGAACCATTTCACGACACCAATCAACAGGATTTTATAGGCCTCTGTCAAATTATGAGGTATCCATCGGGCACAAAGCTTCCTGATCGCTAAATGATTATGGAGGGTTTTGTGCACTTGACTCATACCGATGCCTAAGCATGTCCGAATCAGCTGATAAGTCACTCTTTTGTCAGTCTCTGTCATACGCCGCACAACACTGATGTTATCTTCAGTCGTCGCCATAGAAGATCGTCCCTCACGCAGATCATCCGTGAAATTAGTGCGACCATGTTTAAACTCATTAAACCAGTTGTAAAAAGTCACACGAGATGGGGCTTCATCAAAAGGCCAATCGAAGTCTATCATAATTTTATTGTTGAGTTAAATGACATCGAAATTCATGAAAAATCATTGTACGAAAAATTTCTCACTTTAAATTCATGCTGTCGTGACACGGACAAATTTCAATTTTCCACCATATAGTAAACAAATGACAAATGAATAAAATCATAGAATCTCACTTAGAATATACTGGCGTAAGTACATTCTAGTCTATGAATAAAATACATACGCAATAATATTGGCAAAGAGTTCCATTTTCAAAATTTGAACGTATATTATATCGTTAACAAGTCGCCAGTTCTAAAAACTTTCAGTGTCACCCTCATACTATTATTTATTTTGTAGTATTACTAACATATGTGTTATCATGATCCATGATGGTCGAAATAAAATATTTTTATTTATTATTCAGTAGGGTGGCGAGGTGTAGCCATCCACCGAGGAACCACATCCAGTGTTCTTGGCACTATACCGCGAAGAGTAGGACTTTTACTTTAAGTTTTTTGTTATGGTAACAAATATTGTTTTCTTACACATCATTAATAAATTCGTAAAAGAAGTTGAGTAGGAGAAGTTATTTACGTGGTAGAATCATGCTGCAGCTGTACTACTGGTATAGTTGTAGCACCAATGGGTCGGCTCGACCGTGGAAGGACCACACTCTTATAGATTACCAGCGTCAAATAGTAGTTTAACGCTGCTGTGTTTCATTCGGTGATTGTAGAGAACAGAAGACCCTTTTTGTTGGAAACGAGGCATTACACCTTAGTCCTCACGGGTGACAACGCATCTGCATTTTGATTCGTAATCGAGGATAGATGTAGATGTCTACGGGCCACAGCAACCACTTACCATCAGGTGGACTGTTTGCTCGTTTGCCACACTTATACTACAAAAGCTTTCTATGTTGTGACTTTGCAAGAATGTCTATCACACTGTAAATCACAATTTGAGGTGTTTATGGAATTTCACAAGTTCAAGGTTACAACTAGAATGTCTTCCAATGGTTACATTATAATCTCCATTCCCTGTTTTTCTACGCTTGGGGATAGAATATATTCTTCATAAATATGAATTATTGTGGTCCCAGATAAATCCCGGGACCACATATGAAGTATAATCCGTTTAAAACAGAAAAGATTATTTAAATCGATTCAGGTGTTCCTGAAAAATCGGTGAACATGTATAAAAAATAAATATACGTCGTTTGTAGAATCTACTCGTTTTTTGAACTCAAATATTTTAAAGCTTTATACTTGTATTGCACTTACATAATGAAAAAGCACACTAACAGCAAGAGTAGGTTTCAATTAATACTTCTGACGTAGTTATAAGTTTATTTATTTCAATTATTATTAAAAAAAGTTAATTGAAAATAATTCCACTTGGTCGTCAGTTAATCACTATGGATGTGAACTTTAAAAAAATGAACTTACCACTTTGGTTTTCTTTATTAGCTTTAGATTTTAATCCTTCCGAAGCGGTTTGAATGTCATTATTGTAAACCGTCCCGTTCATCAAAATTTGACAATTTTATTTTCGGTGTGAAAACACGCGTCACAAGTATCAAGCAGTCAAAAAGTTTCGTGTTAATTAAACTAAAACAACTTTTTTGTGGCTTTAAACGAAATACGTGTTTCGGTAATTAATAAAAGTAAACTGTATATTCATAACATCACATGAGCGTTCGAGGTGTGCTTTTTTGGATTTTCCATTTTTTTTTTAATTTTACTTATAGATCTTATACATATAGATATTATTCACTGTCAGTGAATATAAAGTTTGAATATTTTCTTACAATATAATAAATAAACAATACTTAATAAGTTTATTATATTGTAAGAAAATATTTAAACTTTATATTCACTGACAGTAGATAATATTAGACCGATAAGTGAAATTTAAAAAAAATTGGAAAATCCAAAAGTGCACATCTCGAACGCTCATGTAATGTTATATTTATTATAAATATAAAGAGTAACAACCATGTCACGTCCGTAATGCCAACAGCTAGGTTATTTGACAAAAAAACCCGCCGAGTGAGAACACTTTTTGGCAAAGTTATATGGTTTTTAGTTAACCCTTAAAGACTACAATGAATTTGTATACTGCTAAGACTACAATGGGTGTAAAAACACCCGGATTTATTTATTACAGAAAATTATATGAATGAATAAATATATTATTGTGTTTTTTTAATATTCTTAAATTATGGATAATGTTCTTGGATTGATTCATTTATAGGTCTATTTTTTTTTAAAATAACAACAATTTAAATTGCATGTTTAAAAAAACTTCCCAAAAACATGGTAAATTCGAAGGGGTTTGAAAAATAATTAAAAAAAAAAGAAAAGTAGTACGAGTTTTTAATCAGTTTTTATATTTTTAATTATCATAAATAAGCCTTGAATTTAGTATATTATTTATCCTTATATCTAAAAAAAAAACATATGAAATTTTCAAATCAAAATGATAACTAGATAATTTATGTTTTAAATGCTTGTAACACAAAATAAATATAATGTGACCTTCTTTTTACTAATTATAAACAAAAATAATGAAAATTAACAATTACTTCTAAATTGCGTTATTCTTTGGTTAACAAAATATTATTGGTTTCTACTACAGTTAACGCACACCAAACTACGGTGTAGTTCACAAATAAACACTGAATAATTCGAGCATTTAGCTGTGAACTTTTTATCTCCTTTCGGTTTACAAATTCCGCATCTGCCTTGTTTAGCTTTCGTGGCCCTCTCTTGTGAACCTTCTTCATTATCAATTCGTGAATCTCTCAAGGACTCCGTATTATCAACTCTTCGAATGCTGGTACCCGACAGAGTACCTTGATTATCAGAGTGTAGCTTTCGGTGTTCACTGATCACACTTTCGATTTTGTCTCTAATCTTGTGCCGTAAGTTTGAAATTTTGAGTCTGTCTTTTATGTATGGTAACATTAGATCCAGTGACAACTTGTATAGGAATTCGGCTCGAGATTCCTGGCTTTTGCCATTCCTATTGTTGTTGATTGAGAATCGTGTGAGAATTTATTCCTGTTACATCCAACATGTTGTAAAAAATAGCCAAGGGCCATCTTTTTGTTCGTCTCGAACAACTGTAGCTATGACACATCTGATCAACAGCATCCACTCCTGCTTTAGTAGAATTATAGTATTCAATAACCTCTGGCTTCCCGCTTGTTTCTGATATTGCTGATTCATGGTGCATATTCGACAAAAGTATCACAATCCTATTTTTTTTGGACAATACGTAGAGAGCTGAAGTTTATCACGAGTATTGTATAGAAACACTGAACTTCCTATGGGACGATTCTTCGTTATGATGGTGTCTTGCGGTATCTCCACTTTGTTCTTGCACGTGGTACCAACCGTTGTTAGATTGTATTTATTCAGCATATTATTTGCCATAGGTACAGATGTGAACCAGTTGTCACAGGTTATGTTTATATTTGTACCATGAACAGATTTTGTCAAATTTTCAACACAATACTCTGCAAGAGGTTTGCTTCCATTTGGCGTCCCTTTTCCTAGATAGGGCATTCCAGATATCACGTACCGATCATAAGAATCACACATGAGGACCAGTTTCAGACCATACTTATCTGGTTTGCTAGGAATATGGATTCGAAATTTGCATCTTCCTCTGAAACCCACAAGTTGTTCATCAATAGTACAATTTACGGATGGACGATACAGATCAGCGCAATTTTTCATAAACAGTTCCCAAATATCACGGATATGTGCAAATTCATCTGTACTTTTTCTGATGTCCCTGGTCATACGGTCATCAAACCGTAAACAATTGGTTAGAAATTTGTAACGCTCTTTTGACATGATGGCTGAGTAAATTTCACTGCCAGAGATGCCGCACAAAAAATTAGTTGATACTCTGTTATCTTTCTTTACTGCAGTCAGATACAAAAGGCCAAAAAAGGCTTTCAGCTCTGAGATGTCAACATCTTTTGTATATGAAGTTTGCGGGCCATAATTTGCTTTTTGTTTAGCGATTTCCTGATTAGAATGATCAAGTATAGTATCAATAATTTTTTTTATTGAAATACAATTCAAACGCATCCAGTTCTGTAGTCACTTCTTTGGCAACACCCACAGGACCTGGTAAATATGGGACTATATTTCTACCAGGAGTTCGATGAGGAGGCGGTGGCTTAGTACTCCATTTGTAGGTAGGGTATCCTCGCTTTTCCTTGCCCTTCAAAACTCTTTTTTGGGGCAACAACATGTTTCCAATACAAGTAAAAAGTGTATTACCTAATTTTACTTGTCTTCCATCCAGTGGAGAAGGAGACTCATCAACTTCCATCTCCAACTGAGCTTCTGATATATTAGAAGTAGTGTCATCGTCGACACTTTGAGCATCTTCTTCATGAACATCCATTTCTACAGAGTCCTCCTCTTCTGCCGACTCTTCATCCGATGCCAGCAGTGCATCTTCTTTTTTTTCTATTGCTTGTTCCCTCAGTTGCTGCATAATCTGAGATAAAAATATCATAATATACATCTAAATACAATAACACATCAAATAAAAATAATAAATACAATACACATAATAATACACACACGAATATCATATTCTATACACTAGTACACACGTACTAAAAATAAAACATAAAAAGTTAATTACCTAAGTTGTACCCCACTATGACTACAATGGGTGAAAAAACACCGGCTCACGAGTGTATCTCGGGACGGGCGCTCGCGCACAACCACTCTCCCCGCGTCCTCGAGGGCTACTGTCGATATACGAGAATACACGAAATCTCAAGGCGCTGCGTTAAAACTGAAAAAAGATACAGCTACAAAATTAAGTCACTCGGGTGTAAAAACACCGTAGTAGCCTTTAAGGGTTAATGGTCTACACTAAACAAACTTTCTTTTTTAATAATTTGATTACTTACTTCATGAATTCAACGAATTTTTTCGTGTTTAATAAAGATAGTTACACAAAGTGTAACCTTTAAAAGATCGATCTTAAAAATTATATGTAAATAAATCTTTATGTGCAAATTGCACATCAATGAACATTCAATGTGGTTTTATTAGGTTTAACTGACACGCGCATCGGGAAAGGTCATTTTGTCAAACTTTAACGCATTAACGGCATAGCGCAGGGTTTTTGTTATATGTTGTATATTCATTGTGAAGGACTACTCGTGCGAAAAATCTTTTTTTCTATTCTAAACTTAAATACAATCTACGAAGGTGCCAAGTACATTGTAGAACATCTGCTTAGTCTGTGCCATATGTAGGCTTCCTCACTCAGTTACCTAGTGCCTAGGGCGTTGTACAACGTATCGATGAACCGGCGCTTCACGGGTCGTTAACCTCACTCCTGTACGTGTGTTGACCAGACTCCTTAAGATCTATAACTTTTACTGCTTTTGAAACACCGTAAAATGTTAACGACTCTAGCAGAACTAAAAGATTGTTTCATTTAGTTTTACTATGTCTACGATGAAAATTAATAGAATATAATATTTTTATATGTTTACCTGTGATTGTTGTTACTTGGTGAAAGTCCATCTTTATTTTTGTGATTTAGATAAACACTAGGTACCTACATCACAATTATACAAAGTTTTGCAAAATACATAATACAGTATTTATAAATGTTCGTTCTTTAATACATTACTTTTAATTGTCAAAATAAAATATGTTTAACACTTACTGTTTTGTAGTAAACGTGCCAAAGGCAATAAACACTTACTCGTTTCATAACATAGTACCCGGATGGATAATAATAGTTTTTGATCGTATTGACATAACATAGAAAAAACTGAACTGGTTATTTTAATAAAAAATCATAATTGCAATTAAAATAATAATTAAAATTTTCCTATTTCTAAAAAATACTAAAAAAAGGGCTCGAAATAATAGAGAACTTGAAAAAAAAAAGGAAAAAAGTCGGACCCAAGACGGGACGCGAACCACGGAACTCCGATATCACGCCCGAACAGCATCCCATCTGAGCTATTACGATCGTCGGTTACCTGTCAAAATTTACCTTCTTATATTGTAGCAGTTTTTTTATCGCCTGAAAAAACGGACAAAAGGACATTGGCTTTCTAAAAATAAATCCCAGCTAGATCGATTTATTGCCCCCGAAACTCCCTGGACACTAAATTTTATGAAAATCGTTGGAGCCATTTCCGTGATCCCGATGATATATATATACAAGTAATATAAATAATTTATATATATATATATATATATATATATATATATATATATATATATATATATATATATATATATATATATTATATATATACAAGAATTGCTCGTTTAAAGGTATAGGATTTTTTAAATTAAAAAATTTCTTATATACACTTATGATGCCATGAGGTAAACCGGTTGGTTTTATAGTTAGTAATTTAATTATTTGAAATAAAAATTGTGAAAAAAGTACTAGTGTTTATCTAAATCACAGAAAATAATACTTTTTATAACCGGTATAGTTTTAAAAGTAATTTTCTGAAAATTTACTGAAAGTCATTTTTGTTGCTTTTGCCGTTAATTTGGAGAAAAGCCCTCAGTTTCGAAAAGAACCAGCAAGAAACCCAGAGGGACACTGTTTCAAAGAAAACTTATACAATGAAAACAAGTTAAACTAACTACTTACAAAACTTATTTACGAAATGCTTGCAAGCTTGGAAGTTATCACCTTATTCCCGGAGCTAATACCAATCATGTATTTATTAACACTTTATATTCCGTTTTTGTTTAATAAAGTATTTTATTTTGGACTCTATCCCATAAATTAATTACTTACTCTGTGGAGTCGATAACCGATATCATTAGCTTGTGTTTGTTCCTAATAATTAATGCTCCATACCCAATATCGGTCACGGCGGCCAGTCTCAAAGGAGACGAGCCATCTGCGTAGGAAAAGATTATAGTGCACAAGTGTATGCACAAGCTCAGGTGCACTCTCCATTCCACCACCGTCATATTGCTATGTGACGGTAATCCGACACGATCGGAACATGATCAAGCACAGGACCAACGGCTTTACGAGCTTTCCGAGGGATGGAGTGTAACACCGCAGATTTCCTGACTTAGGGCTGACAACGAGAATTTCTTGCAAGAAAAACGCAATAACTGATTTCGATCCGACCCGGGATTCAAACCCGGGATTTCAAGACCAACAGTCGCGTTTATGTATGTTTTAAACAATGCAAATCACTTTTTTACAATTAATTTTACGTTTATAAGTACCTACACATATCAATTTTACAATATCCTAGAATAAACAGACGCAAATAAATAAATTAGTATTTGGTATAACGTCAAAAACTAACATTTTATTTAACGCATAGAGTTCCATAAGCTCAAAAATCCCTTCTTGACTTACATAAGAAATCGATACGAGTTGGACCTATGCCAGGCTCTCAAGGACAGTTGGAATTAGGCCCTGCGGTCTTATTCTGGAAGGCGAAATTTAGCGATCTCCTTAAAATATTCCCAGGCGTGAAATTGAAGTAACTTGACAACAAGCATTGTAAGTACTTAAAAGTAATGTGTTACGTACTTTATTTAATTCGGAATAAGACATTTTTTATTATTTTGTTATTCTTAACGTATTAATAAAAAAAAGATATATGATATAAGTTCGATTATATTTTATAGACCGTGCCACGAGCCGTGGTAGCTCAGATGGTTAGCACTCGCTGTAAATTTCTCAATACTAGTATATTTCCCAATAACCAGGTTCGATCCCCGCCGGCACCAATGAAATTGTTTATTGCAATTTTAAGTGCTGATTTACCACGTGCTCGGCGGTGAAGGAAAACATCGTGAGGAAACCTGCATGTCTGAGAAATAAGAAAAGAAATATTTCGAAGACATGTGAAGTTCGCCAACACGCATTGGGGCAGCGCGGCGGACTATTCCTTGCCCTAAAACCCTCTCAGAAATGAGGAGAGGCCTGTGCCCAGCTGTGGGACGTATATAGGCTGTAACTTTACTTTACTTTTATATTTTATAGCATGTAATATTATCTACTAATGCTAGATATATGTCCGTCACAACGTCTACAGCCTATTAAATTCACTGCTGTATATAGGTCTCCCTCGTAGATTGCCTCATTGCGGGATTTGTGCCATAGTTACCACGCTTGGCAAGCGGGTTGGCAACCACAGCTTTTAGTTTTAGTCGTTATTAGGAAGACGCTGCTGCCCATTGCGATTTTTTCCCTCTGTCGCCTCTTACCACCCACAGGTGATTGGGGTAGTTATTACACTGCCACTACATAGTAAACTATATATATATATATATATATATATATATATATATATATATATATATATATAATAAGTAAAAGTTAGTTTTTACTATGTATATCGATTTTGGTATCATACCACAGTAAAAACTAACTTTTACAAAAAGTAAATTAGGTCGATTTCAAATAATTTTTAAAAAAATAGCATAAAGAAAACACCGACTTCAGAATGTGTGAAATTATTTTATACCTTTTAGTTCTTCATGGTCTAAAAGTCGACTTTTTCTTAAAAGTTATTTTGTTTAATTTTTTAGAGAGGCGGCACTATTTAGATTATGATATCTACGGATATCACAATCTAAATAGTGCCGCCTAAATAGTTACATTTAAATAATAAAAAAATAAAACATTGCCTATTTCCCTATCCTTAGGGGTTGCATTTCTTCTCCAAATTTATATGGGGCAACCCCCAAAATATGAGCTACTTAATCAAATAAAATTTTCAAAATTATTCCGCAATTGACGAAGAAATCGCTGTGAAAACATAAAAAAGATACATACAGTTCAACATAGAACCTACGCATTTTAGAAGTCGACAAAAAAACTAAAGTAAACTACGAGTATACACTTTCGCCAGCAGCCTCATTTCTGAGAGAGTTATGAAGAAATTGGTCCACCGCACTACTCCAGAGCTTCTGACCGGACTTTACTTGTTCTCAAAATATGTTATCCGTATTCATATAGGTATACATTTAGATATTTAGGTTTCCCCATTGTTCACGCTATCCTTGCAATCTTCTTCACGATGGTGGTTATAAACGATAAATATGTTGAAATATACACAATACAACCGAATGTATATCAGCACAAAATTTTCCTAACAACCATTTAAGAATATATATTTTAATTACGCGTTAAGTACGAGTAGAGTAATTCCGAGTACGTCGCCACAGAGTACCTTTGAACTGTACGTCGCCGAACCAACTACCTATATTCTCGAGAACCGAGCGCGGGATGACGCTAGTGCAGTGTCCACAGATAATCCGAGGTAAATTATAATTGCCGAACATTATATTTTCATTTCATTATATTTTCCTTCACTGACGAGCACGTAGTAAATGAACACTTAAAATTGCAAATAACAATTTCATTGGTGCTGGCGTAAATCGCTTTCGATCGCCCTAAATAGATTACAATACAAATTTCAACCAGATCTGTTTATAATCGAAATCAGTTAATATTTTTGCAAA